AACACAAAACATATTTGATAGTTTATTTCTTTGAAATTTTAGTTATTTCCCAAATAGCATTTTGTAATTGTAATTGTAATTTTGTTTTGCCTAAGGGAAATCCAGAGATTAGCCATATGGTCTATTTAATTGGTCCCTTGGGTTTTACTCCTCAGAATGTGCATTAATATAAAAACAGGCAAAACACAAGAAGAGCAGGAGGCATCAGGAGATAGCTGAAAATGTACTGCTCAGAGTCAGAGAGTTCAATTTTCAGTCCTATACTTAGTAAGCATATATATGTATATATATATATATGTATATATATATATGTGTTTATATGTATATATGTGTGTATATATGTATATATATACATATATATATAATTTCTTATTATTTTTAATAAAGACAAAGGATAATTCCCTCTCCCTGACTTCATTATGATAACCTTTTTCTGAGAAAAGACAACAAAACATGTATGTGAGAATATACATAACAAAATATTATGAACATGGGAGAAATCACTATTATTGTTATTTGCTGAAAATTGTTAAACACACTTAAGCAAATAATCCAACTATGGATAACAACTAAATTTCACTTATTTTTAATGCACCAAAAATTTTGAGAAAAATTATTATTTATCCACATATCCATACATTAAATGAGATATAAGATAATGCTAAATCTGAAACTCATTTTTTTGTGGTGTATTTTTATTCCTACTCTACAGTAATTCACCAATTAACTCTCCCTGTCCTTGTACACGGAATCCAATTTAGTTTGAGTGGCCAGGTCTTGGCCTCAAGAGATAGAATGGATCCATACTAATTATGGTTATCTAGTTTCACCCGTAGTGGTGATATAGTTAAGGACTAGACATATGACGTAGCCCTGGGAAAGAGACGAGAGAGAGAGAGAGAGAGAGAGAGAGAGAGAGAGAGAGAGAGAGAGATTGACTCCTGGGATCTTTCTATTTATTTATGTTTAATTTAGCAGAAACGGGGTCTTGCTCCATCACCCAGGCTGGGGCACACTGGCACAATCATAGTTCACTGCAGCCCAAACAATCCTCCTATCCTGGGTTCCTGGGGGCATCAATATGCCAACAAGTCAACTCTTTGACTTGTAGTCACTCAATAGCTTGCTAAGTTACAAAGCATGACCTTGAAATTTAGGTCACTGTTAGCTGGATTTTTTTGTTTCTTACAGCTGAAGGCATCTGAAATCAGTGTTGTTCTGATCCTACACTTTCTGACTCCCTTAGGCCCGTAAATACTCAGTGGTCACCTATAAGACCTGGTAGTGTGTTTTTTTTTTTTTCTCTCTGGCACAGTGATTGAAAACTTTTCAAATTATTACTGCCTTGATAGCCTGGATTCTCGACTGACTCTGATAAGCAGAACAATACCATCTAGCATGAATAGAATGTAAGTCTTTGTTACTGCAAACCACATGTATTTTGGACTTTGTTATTGCAGTATAATCTAGCTTGACTTGATTGATATGGTACCCTCCCAAGAAAATGTTGAAATTTTGTCCCTTGTCCCTCAGAATGTTACGTTATCTGGCAATAGGGTAACTGAAGGTTAATCAGTCATAATTCAAGACTATGAAGTCATACTGGAGTAGAATGGGTCCCTAATGCAATAGGATTGGTGTTCTTAGAAGAAAAGGGAAATTTGGAGACAGACACACAAGGAGAATGCCATGTGATGACAGGTATATTGAACTGTTGCAAATGCAAGCCAAACACCACCAAGGATGGCCAAAATACTCTACAGAAGCTAGCAGGAGGCAAGGAAGAATTCTTCCCAACAGGTTTCAGAGACAGCATGACCCTGTTGATACTTAAATTGGGACTTCTACCTCCAGAAGTGTAAGGCAATAATTTTCTGTTGTTTTAAGTAACCTGGTGTGCGGTATGTTATTATGCCAGTCCTAGTGTAATATAATCAGGTAAAGCAGGGCTGTTTTTATTGTTATTGTGTTATTTTGTTTTCACTCTTTGTAATCATGATATTAATGTCCTGTAGAAAAGGCATTAATGGTCATGCCTATTCCCACCTAGTAATTCTTTCAATAGGACTTAGGAAATGTACTAATATAGAAAATTCTTAAAGCCATTTTTTACAAAGTAATGACCGATTGGGGTTTCACATAAAAGTTTTATGTAATCTGGGTGATCAAAGTGATATCCATATATATATCTCTCTCCCCCTCTGTATATAGGTATGAATGTATATGTATGTCTATACACACAGTTACATAAAACTACATAGACATATATAGTTACATAGTTATTTTTAGAGTCATTCATATGAAGAAGTGGTCAAAGAAGTAGTTCAGGTTAGAAATCTTCTCTCAGCCTGGGCTTCTTAGAAGCAAAACAGTCCAGGTTTCCTCACCAACACATCCTAAGAATTGGCAGCAGTTCCATCCCACACAGTGTTTGTCCTAGGACAGATTTCTTGCCTCTTTGAACTATTGTTGCTAACACCCTATACCCTTGTCTCTATGGGCACCAAATTTATCTCTGATATTCAATATCTAGATCTCATCCTAGTTTATGCTGACCTAATTAAACTCTTCTCTGAGGACCTTCCTTAACTCTGCTTCATGCTTACTTCTGATTGCTCCCTTTTTCTTGGATCTACTTGAGAGTAAAAGTAATTCATCCATTTTGCCACTACCCTTTACTTCTGTGAAAATCATGATGTATTCCTCAGGCTTTCCACTTCTATGAAAATCATGATGTATTCCTCAGGCTTTTCTTGAATTCTAGAATCAAGAAAATAATGCATTTGTTTTTATTTTTATTTTTTCAATTTTAGATTCAGAGGGTACATGTACATGTCTGTTACATGGGTATATGTTAATAATGGTGGATATTGAACTTCTAGTGTACTCATCACTCTGATTTTTTTTTTTTTTCTTTTTAGGTCATTGGACTCTAACCCAGGCTGGAGGGCAGGGATGTGATCATGGCTTACTGCAGCCTTGACTTCCTGGGCTCAAGGATCCTCCCACCTTAGCCTCCTGAGTAGCTGGGACTACGGGTGCCTGCCACCATGCCCAGCTAATTTATACATTTTTTTGTAGAGACAGGGTCCCACTATGTTGCCCAAGTTGGTTTCAAACTTCTGGACTCAAGAAATCCTCCCACCTTTGCCTATCAAACTGTTTGGATTATAGGTGTTAGCCACTGCACCCAGCTCACCCAAATATTAAACATTGTATACAATAGTTAAATCTTCAGCCCTCACCCTGTTCCTACCCTCCCTGCTTACAGAGTCCCTAGTGTCTATTATTTCCATCTTTATGTCTGTATATACCTATTGTTTAACTTCCTCTTACAAGTGAGAACATGCAATATTTGGTTTTCTGTGAGTTAGTTCATTTAGAATAATAACTTCCAGTTTCATCCATGTTGCTGCAAAGGACATAATTTTATTCTTTTTGCATGGGGAATAAAGTTTATTTTTGTTTTTAATTCTTATAGCTACATCCTAAAAGACTCATTAATAGTTTATAACTATTTGGATTTTCTGTCAGCAAAAATAAAATAAGAAATAGTAACAAACAAGTAACAAACTAGTTAATGTTCAGATATTTGTGAACATATAACAAAGATTTCAATATTATATTTAATAGTTACTATTTTACAGTATTTTCACCCAAGACCAAGCCCGATCTAATTGGTTCTTTTTATATACCAATGAGAAAATTCAGATTTTAAGTTCAGAAACCAAAATATTTTTAAATGTCACTTTTATTTTCTACAAATGAATATGAGATAATAATTAGATGTTACTACACAAGATTTTGTGATTTATGTTTCGCAACTTTCTTTGTTGCCAATATTTAGGGAGCAAAGGCTTCTTCCTGAATTTCAGCTTGGTGTGATTCATCAAGAACCACTGTCTGTGGATGTGGCCTTTCTCTTCCCAGGACTGAGGTTTCTTGACCCTTCTTTTATATTCTGATGAACAGGAGTACCATTCAGTTATATCTTCACTGATTTGAGACCCTGAGAAATGTGGCCTCTATTGAAGACTAAAAATAATTTTTAAATAGAGAATGTTTTTAATTTATCTAGACAGAAATCAAAATGTTAGAAGTTGGCAGAATCTTACATGTTTCTACTTCCTCTATTAGTTTTAATTTAGATAAATTAGTGACGTTTTATAAAACTTCTACTTTCTAGACGAAGGAAAGATGTTACTTGGCAAGTGACTGAGATGTCTGTGACTTGAATAGAAGACTTCCTGGGGATTTCCTAGCACAGGAGGAGTAGCTTAAGATATTGAAGAAGTTTGGCCCAGAGAAGAAATGCTTTCTCTAATGGTTAATATTTTGCAGGTTATGTATAAGAAAGACTTGATTTTTTTTTTCTGAATAGCACCAATAAGACAGGATGAAGAAAAGAAAGAGTTACCCAAATTATGTGATTTCTGTGAAATACAATAGCATCCTTTTGAAGTACTGTACTTTCTTATTATGTGGCATGTTCAGATAAAAAATAAAAGACCATTCTTTAGATAATATGAAGATGTTATTCTTTCACTGGATAGGATATTGGAGTAGAAAGCTACTAACAGGCCACTGAATGTTCTGTCAGTCTCCAAAAAAGACTTGGCTAAACTATTTAAATTGATAAAGTACTTGCTGTAAGTGAACTCTGCTGGTGGAATGGGCTTGAAGAGCACACGTGTGGTCTGAGGGAAAGAGCACAGACTTTAGAATCAAATCCACCTTGCTCTGGGCAGCTTTCTATAGGTTTCACATGATGTAAGGATTTCAACATCAATAAAACTAATAATGCCCACCTTTCAACATTTGATAGTTGAAAAAATTGCAGCTATTAACTATAAATTAATTATATGGTAATATAATGAAATAAATCATCTCAAATAAACAAATGCCATTAAATGACAAAAAATAAATCAATTGGCAATAGCTTCATGATCTTGCTGATTACATGAGGGTATTCTTTTTTAAAATATTTAACATTATTTATGTTTTAAACTTTTATTTTAGATTCAGGAGTACATGTGCAGGTTTGTTACATAGACAAACTCATGTCACTAGGGTTTGGTGTTAATGGCACTGTGACATCCACAACTCCCCTGACCTGTTTAGGCATAGGAGCTCTATCGAAGTGGAAGAAAATGCCTTTGCTTTGTGCATTGTGTTTATCTTTGGTATTGCTCTTTCTGTTCTCTTGTAACAACCAGTCACCTAGGAGCCATTTCAAAATGAAGCCAGACTTTAAAAGTTATTAAGTAAATCATTTACAAATTCTTCCAAATGGCAGATAGGTGCATACAAATAACCCTACTCACAAACTCCAAATTTTCCCAAGTTTAAACTATCATTTTAATCTTGCATTATAGCCAAAGGTGAATGAATCAAAAAACTAATATCATTATAGATAATACCCATGGAAAGTCAACTAAGGAACACAAACTCTGCCCAGTTATATCCCCTTGTTCAGTTTGCCTATTTTAAAAAAACTCATCTCTTTCTGTATAACTCTGCAATACTTTTCTGTTGGCATCCTTTGAAGTTTTGCTTTGACTTTGTAAGAAATAGTTTCGACCCAGGATGGGCAACATTCTTACCCTTAAATTTAGCATCCTAAATGTCATCTCTGACCCTGATCGATCTGTTTTAGGAATCTGGTTCTGATTCATGCTGCTGTCTTTTTATAGGTAGCAGAGCTGGGATAGAACTGATGCTCCCTCAAAATGGAGGATTAAGACTATTTGGTGGTTAGGGGAATTGGTAATAGCCCTACAGTGTTATGGGTATTTGCATATATTTGAGTTTGAAAAGAAAATAAATGACCAGATCTCGAACATCTGAATTCTTGATCTGATTTGAATGGCTGAATCAGATTAAAAGCAGAAACAAAGCAAATTTTAGGAAAGATCGTGCAATATTGTTCTAATAGAAAAATTTAACAGAAGAATTATTCTAATTATTTTGGAAAAATTTTTTACAACAGATAACCTTTTAAGAATTCTAGGAATAGATGAGGGAAGGCAAATACTTCGAAGTGGCAATACTCCTATTTCTGACTTCCAGAGAATCAATAATGTCTGCCTAAATATGATAGTGAATAATGTTTTTCTGAATATGAATATCAGCCTTTAAATACCTACATTGTCAAAAGCAAATCACCTCCTCCCCAATTCCAGCAGTAAATATGAAAATTGAAATAGCTATAAATATATTGATATAGTGCTATGCTTTATATATAATGCAACCTATCAGTACAGCAAATGCATCTCCAGAAAAGAATCCCATTTCTACTAAAAACTAATTACCTTAGATACAAAATTCAATATCTTTTCTAAATGCATATATTTGCACATGAGAAGAGTGGTTGCCATTGCATTTTGAGCTTCCATGCAAGCCTAATTTAACTCTAAAACTGGATACATATTCTTTTAAAATTAAGTGGTTTCTAGAAAGTCTTACTGAGCAAGAATTTCGCATGGGATTTTGTCCATAGTTAAATGCAGCTCTGAAAAGTGCTTGAGGAGTAAGCCTCCTTTACAAAGCCCAGGACTTTGTGCATATCTGTCCCTAATTTACTAATCCATACTTTTTTTTATACTTAATATAGAAAAAAGCATATGGCAGATAGAATTCTAGAATACTAAAAACATGTTGATATATGCCCAAAGAAAAAGTCCAGATAAATTTACTCTGTGTATTACTATATATGCATATATTTTAAAGTCCCAAAATCCTATCCGCACATCACAATCTTGTGAGATATCCAAACCTATAAGGACCTCTTTTGAATAAATATTGAGTATTAGTTATCTCTTAGGCCCACACTTTATTTACATGGCCTCTAAGAACTTGCTTCTATCCTAATACAAAGGGACAAAGAAAGATGAAGCTAAGGAAGAGTGGAAATAAGAAATGATATTTTCTTGTCATTATATAAAGTAGAAGCTAAGCAATTCACTCCATAGATTCACTCTGGGACCTGCCTAAATTTCTGCCTAGCTTTCTTAGGTTTCTGTTCCACCCCAGAAACAAGGAGGCCCCAGACAGGTATTTTAACCACCAATGATTGGGGAACATAAGCCTTAAATGTTGGAGAATCCCACAGGTATATGTTAACGTACCGAGGGAATGAAACAACTTTTGCCTCTGTGTAAACATCAGACCTTCACCAGTGAGTACAATGTTAGAATTTATCTTTGCAAGGGTTGGAAGGAAGGAAAAAACAAAGCAAAAGTTTATGCCTTCTCTAAAGGCCAACAGAAATCAGGTTCCACCTGCTGCATTAGAAAATTCTCCAATTGTCTCTACAATGTGAAATCCTTGAACAAGGACTAGGGGAATTCGGAAAGTCAAATATCTCTTTCAGACCATTAATTAGGATACTATGCTAAACGAAAATCAACTTATAATCAACTCAGGAACAAAAATAGGTTTGTTTTCTTTAGGTAAGTCTTTAAAACAGCATTTTATCTTGAGGAAGTTATATAATCACACCCACATATGTCAAACAATAAAAAAAGACATTGCCCTTGGTAATCATTATTTTTGAATCTCAGGACAGTTCACAGTTGTAAGTTGCCAGCACAGCATGCACTTTATTAAAAATTTAATATTGTTAAAGACAATATTAAATTAAAAGCCAGGGGCAATTGTCAAGCCACGTTGTGGTCCCTTTTCTTACAACTTCTCTCAGTGCTGAAGTGTTAGAAGATGATAATACCGAGAATTTCTTCATCTGTAAGTGATATATCAGAGGAACTAAAATCAGGTACCATGTTTCAAAGTCATTTGACAACTAGTTGTTTTGCCAATTCCCTTTGGCAGGTTTAAGAAAATGGATATGTTTCAAATACAACAGGCTTTGTATCATGGGCGAAATCTGAAGCTTGAAGTCAGGTCATCAATATTTGGTTCTACCGCTTTTACTTAAATCTGTATAAGATTGACCAAGTCTTTGAGTCTACTTTTTACTTTGTCAAACAGATAATAGTAGCTCCTTACACGGATTATTCTGTGTACCAAATTCATTAATGTTAATACATGGAATACTAACCATAAATCATTATGCAAATCTTAGTTATTTTTTAGAGAAGCTTAAAAGTTTCATGTCCCACACTGCAAGAACTCTCTACTTATTATTCTCTTGTAGCATCTGTAATTTCGCATCATTTATCCCCTTGGGCTGAGTTATCAAAACTTTTACTTTAAAATATAATTTTAGTGTTTTTAAGTGATAACTCAATAGCTATTTTAGTAGATTAGGACTTTTGATCTAGCAATGTTCATTGATTATGCATAGTTTATGGTAAAATTTGCAAAACTATCCTGTAAAAATATCATATATGGTAAAAATGGCAACATAAGCCAAATAGAAATAAGAGTTGCATACTAGAAGCTAGTCTCCAGGGGCAAACCCACAAAATTTGCCAACAATTAAATTTAAATTAAATTAAATTAAAATTTGCCAACAATTCAAAATTAGGATAATTCTTTTTTGTTTTTGTTTGTCTGTTTCTTTGTTTTCAGAGTGCAATGGTGAGATCGTGGCTCACTGAAGCCTCCAATTTCTGGGCTCAAGTGATGCTCCTACCTCAGCCTCCTGAGTAGCTGAGACTATAGGTGAGTACCACCATACCCAGCTAGTTTTAAAAATTTACTTCTATCTTTTAAAGCCAAAGTCTTACTATGTTGCTCAGTCTGATCTTGAACTCCTGGCTTCAAGCAATTTTCCCACATCGGCCTCCCAAGTTGCTAGGATAATTCTTAGAGAAATGTAATGTCTAGTTTTTTTAAAAAATAAGTATATTAGAAAATGTAGAAATACTTGGCATGGTTTCCATAGATCACCATCCTTAGTTTGTTCCTGAGTAACAGGCACAAATTAGAAAGTAGATGTATAATTTTTAATTTGCCACTATCTCCCACTGTTACCTCTTTCCTTTCCATAAAAGTAAGCTATTTGTCTGGTTCCTGATTTAGAGTCTCTGAATGACAACTGAAATATGTTGATCCAATTCAACAAAGACAAAGAAAAAAGAATAAGAAAATATGAACAAAGTCTATAATTGACAGATTCAAATTGACCCATGTGGGCCAGATATTGACCACTATACTAATGCTTTATGTCCAAGAACATGAGAGCAAGTTACCTATTAGTGATAATGCAATCTCTCTGAAAATAGCACATTGAAGCAACATGGTAAAAGTTTTCTTTACATTGCCACTTATTAGAGTATGCTATGATGAGCCTGGTAAGCTGTGGCATGGTGAACTGTCAATATTTGGGTCTCGTACATGTCCACAAAATTGGGTCACATGCCAGACCAACAACAGGCCAGGAGAGGAAAGATGTTGTTCATGGTAACCAAATGGCATGCAAGTAAACTAACTGTGCTTGGGTCTTGAGAAACTGTGCTCAGTATTGGATGCAGAAATACACTGTGCAGATGACCTAAATCATTCAAGTAGCTTCCACTGGGGAAGAAGAAGGAAGGAAGTTTAGGATCCAGATTTGTAAATGAAATGAAACAAATTGGAAGCACCAATGCGAAAACTGGACTTTAGGTCAGACTCCATGTAACAGTAGGGGTTAATACAAAAAGCCAAATAATAAAATTCAAGGAGAATAAGTCCAGTAGTATTTAGCAGGAGCCAATTAGCTAAAATAATATTTTAAATCCTAAATTTTTATTCCTAATGTGTAAAGCCATCATTCTCAACACTTGAAGTAAGGAAGGCTGATTTTTTTTTTCTTTTTTTACTTTTAATTGAAATTTTAATCTGCTTTTGGTCCATTAATTCTTCACTTTCTTAAAATAACACTTTTACAATTCTTACATATCAATCATGAGTAAAATTGTGCTTTGTTTATTTTCTCTTCCATTTTGCTTAATTATTTAATTAATTTAGCTTTCTTTTCCACAAGTTATAGTGGTACTTGGCTATGTGAGTGAGTTCTTTAACGGTGATTTGTGAGATTTTGGTGCAGCCATCACCTGAGCACTATACACTGCACCATATTTGTTGCCTTTTATCTCCTGCCCTACCCCCCTTCCTTGCAAGTCACCAAAGTTCATTGTATCATTCTTATGACTTTGCATCCTTATAGCTTCGCTCCTACATATCAGTGAGAACATATGATGTTTGGTTTTTCCATTCCTAAATTACTTCACTTAGAATAACAGACTCCAATCTCATCCAGGTCACTGCAAATACTGTTAATTCATTCCTTTTTATGCCTGTATAGTATTCCATCATTTATATATATATATCACAGTTTCTTTATCCACTCATTGATTGATGGGCATTTGAATTGGTTCCATGAGTTTGCTATCATGAACTGTGCTGCTATAAACACACGTGTGCAAGTATCTTTTTTGAATAATGACTTCCTTTTCTCTGACTAGATACTCTGACAAGTTACTTCTTGGAGACTTTGTTCATATTTTCTTATTCCTTTTTCTTTGTATTTGTTGAACTGGGTTAATTCAAAGACCTTATCTTTGAGCTCTAAATTTCTTTCTTTTACTTGTTCAATTCTATTGCTGAGACTTTCCAGGGCAATTCATAGTTCTAAAAGTGTGTCCAAAGTTTCCTGAAATTTTGAATGTTTTTTCTTTAAGCTATCTATTTCCTTGAATATTTCTCCCTTCACG